CTGCTCATTATTGTCTATGGGGCATTTATTTAATTTCGAATAAATTTTATCTTGTAAAGCGCTTCGAGACATTTATTTTAGGTGAAAGACACTGTATATATTGTTTGACAAACTTCTGGCTTCTGTAAAAGGAGAGCAGTTAAAAGGAATGTTAGATATACATTTTTTTGTAATCCTACATTATTTATTCAGTATCTGCAAAACTACTGCAGTAGAAGCTTTTAATAGAAATTCCTACTCTTGTATGTGCGTGGGCAGATTCTCTTTATCCAATTGCTTACAAAATGTGGGAAGCTTAATGGTGTTGAGCAGACATTTAGTTTGATTAAAGTTCTCAGGTGTTGACACGGTGGTCATCTGGAGCATGCTGGATTTCTTAGAAAGAAGGCATGAGCCACATGGTCCAACATGTTTGGCTATATTAAAGTGAATGTTGCCTGCGAAGAGTTGTGACTTGCTTTATGCCACTTGGCCACAGTTGCTAGTTTGCAACTGCTGTTAGAAGTGAAATGGATGCAATTCCAACAATTATTGTTTAAATGCTTGCTCCCTTTGTCTTCCCCATCCGCGTGCTAATTCTGACTTACCGATATAAACCTCAAGAAAGCAGCTGTCTGCCATTCACAGCAGAGGTGGCTTGCATTGCTTCCATTAGGTAACATTATGCTTCCAGCTCCTGAGATTTGTGAAACAAATGTCTAGCTTTTAGCTAACTTTAGGGAATTCAAATAATTAAAATTTGCTCTTAAATGGAGTTGAAATGTAAAGTAATTTAACATCTTTACACTCGTTTGCTCCTTGACCACTTTTAGGTTCATAAAATCGGCTGCAGTTTATTCACTGAAATATTGGAAATATGGGATTAGTTGGGAATGAAAATGGCAATATTTCATAATTGGGCTATGCTTAAACGTTTGATAATTACAGTAATTATTTTTACATTATGCTGATCATTTTGATCTCTCGTGTATCAGATCCCTTCCTGTCAGTGACATGATATGCTTGGTGTGACCTTGATGTGAACCTCCTGCCCCCTAGCACACATGCCCTTACTCACAATAGCCCACAAAACTCACTGTCTGTGAAGATTCAGTGAAGAAGAAGGAACATTTGTGGTTCCTATGGACTTGTACCCTACCATTACTCACCACCTTCAACACTAAACACAAAATTAAATTTACATAACCCCTTTCTGTTGGGTCCTATCTCAGAGCGATTCATGAGCGAACAAAATATCAAATTGAGTAGATGGGATGCCATACTCACTGTGAGTCCAAAGTGCTGAGGGGTTAATGCTGGAAACGTTCTCCGAAGAATGTGATGTCACAGAGTTTACATCAATAAATTCTTAACCTTGTCACTGGTTGAGGGCAGGGAAGAGGCACTAAGTGAAGGCCATCTTCAAAACAGTTAACCATGACCTCACTTTCTTAATCCTATGCTGACTGTCACTGCTATTTAACAAGCTAGGCAGTGTTGTTTATTGATTCAATTACCTTTACAGGTTACTGTTGCCTCTCTGCTTTTCCCTGGTTTCTCTCCCCTTTCCAATCTCCCCGAGCCACACACTTCCTGCAGCTGACACACTTACTCTTGTGCTGCCTGGTATGAGTGTGTGTAAGAGAATCCCACTGAGGTCTGAAGTTCCATTTGTCCCTGTGAGGAAACTCCAGTTCCCTGTTGCTACTTCTTCCAGAGGCCCGGCTGAGAATGGATAAGGAGAGGAGATGGAGCTGAATGTGAACCCATCACATTATGGGACCACCACCCCACCCCCCAGTCCCCATATTGGTGTCTTAGTAACTGCCCTACCCTATCTTTAATTCTGTTTATTTCTGTATTTATCCTCTCTGTGTATAGTTTTCCTGTTCCTCAATCTTCAGACGTTAGCCAGGAAAATAAACGTCACATTTTTGATTTATGCCCAGATGCTGAGGTTGTGCACTGTTTGGATAAGTTTGAGACACAGGCCAGGGAAGTTAAGAAGTTCAGAACCAGAAGTGGGGAGATGTTGTCAGGAACCAAGGAGGATGAAAAAGGAGGTAAATATCTAAAGTCCGGCTCTCAAGACCAATCTGGATGTACTGGTTTGCATATCGATCGACTACCCCAAAGCATTCATTTAAATATTAACTTTGACCTTATCTAAGAGCTGATTGTTTTATGGATTTGTGTGCTGGTGGAAAATACAAAATAGCTTCCATAGTTTCTGACCTCTACCATAATTCTTACTGGCTCACTTTACAAACCAGTCAGATTTATAATGAGAGCTATGTGAACCCTTGAAATGCTGATCTAACAAAGCATTTGTGATAATATTAAAATTTAAGGCCAGTCCAGTAATAAAAATCAGCAGCACTAATTTACATTCGGCATCGACTATTCTGTGGCCGGAGCTTAACCTACAAACTGTACACGCAGACAATGCACAGATAGTCTACGGGACCTAAAGCAGTGCTCCTGGATTAGCTTCAGTAATGGATTAAGCCTCCAATTACCCTAATGCTTTACCAACCCCACATTAACATTGGCTATGTTCTTACAATAATAGTTTCTCTTTTTACAATGTGTGGTTTGCTCCCTGATTGAGCAACTCTGTCTCTCACATCCACCACCTTCTGGACAGGCTGAGATGCACTGATCCATCATTTCAAAACTCTCCTGCCATGTCACCCTTGGCCTGTTGACACTGCCCCGGACTCTCTCCCACATTCACTGGTGTATGCATCAAACTGAGAGAAATATCTGTTACTGTAACACTGCTCATAGGCTGATACAAAAATACCAGGTTATTCATTTCATTGCATACACATTAAGGTGCATACACATATAGGTGGTTGGGGGTAGATCGGGTCAGCAAATTCGAGAGGAAATTAGATGCCATATTTAGTTTAAAAAATCAATTGAGTGGAAGTAGAGTTGGAGAAGGCTTATTTGCTTCTTCCTTTGGCCAAATTAACCACATGGTCTTTTCTGGTCTGGTACAATAATAAGTTCCCATTTATGCATTGTATAACATTAGAAAATGTCAAGATCAAGCAGTACTAAAGCTTGGACATAAAAGGAATAGCAGGCACCTTTACATCAATTCCCAGGGCTTAGTCTTCGACTTAGTCTCACTGGGAGACACATAGAGGAGCAGCCAGAAAGTTGTTCCTGGACTAGAAATAAATCGAATATCATCCGTTATTCAAAGCCTAGTAGCTTTGAGCGCTGTTATGGCCTGCTGTTATTCATTAATACTGACTACAGACACTTCAGAATTAATTTCCACTGCCTGTGCACAAATAAATTTGCAACAAATTTCCACTGAGACAAAAAATCCCAGTAATTTATTGTGACTCATTTCACTCGGCTGGGAACTCAGACTGTTTCAAGTGTCAGTTGTGTTTAGGTAATCGTGTGGTTCTAATACACTTCAGTTTACATCCAAAGCATCAGCACGGCCTTGTCTTATTCCTGCAGCAGTGCTGGGTGAACTTCGCAAGCTACCTAGCGGCTTGTCAATGTGCTAAAAACAGTTTGTCAAACACAAATAGCGATCAAAGTCAATTATGAACGGCAATGGTAAATAGTTTGTCACGTGCTAAAAGCAGCAGCATTTCATACAAACATAACTACAGACCAGTAAATGACATCTATGTCTGCTTGACAGGGTTATCTGTCCACACTTCTAAAGCACTCTCATGTGGATTGCAGCGATAAAATGAAACCTTCAATCAACTTTGAAGACTCTGAGCAGTGTGGAAAAGATCCTGAATTCAATTAGATTTACAAAAACTCAACAAAGGATTGATTGTCATCCGTCGTCTCAAAAGTTGCACTAAAAGTCCAATTTGATCAATGGAAGTAAATAATAACAAGATTGAATTCATAACCAGTGTCAGTTAGCTCTGACTTGACCTGAACGCCTTAACATTCAATGTCACTTTGCGCCCAAACAGAGTTACAATACATGCAACAGGCCAACACTAAGATACTTATCAGCGTCTCCATCCGCAATCTATTCTAGCAGACAAACGTGTTGTTAATTCTATTCCTGTTTCTGTCTCTTGGATTAGTTTTGTAAGAGCAGATTGGAAATGGCATGCCTTTCTGGTGTGTGGCTTTATCTGCATCGAAGCACCTGGCAAATTAACATTGGGCCCAGACCTAAAACAAAACCCCCACATAAATCTGCAGCTTCCTGGTAACCAATTGCCTCTTATAAGTCCATGTCTTAAACAACTCAATTACTGCTGTCCATGCTTAATTATTGAAATGGTAGCAGCCTTTCTTCAGCAGACTCCTTTGCATATGTTCACAATTACATTAGTGACGTACCTTAGAACTGCGAGTCTTCAATTAATATGAAAAACCTGTAAATAATGGTAATTTCTAGAGCGATTACTTGTCTGAGTAGATACAATTATTTTGGTAGGTGGAGTCAATGCAATGATGTTCATTTGCATCAACCATTCTGAAAACTTTTCCACTTCAAGGTGGCAGCAGTGTGATAAGTTTTCTTCCATTTACAATAGTTATCAGGAAACTCAAAGCTACAAAGAAAAATTGTGAATGGCCTCCAGACAGCTCCAAGTCTGAGGCAGGGTTTTACCTGAACAACCTATCAAACTATGATTAATTCTCAGATGCTCAATGGCGAGCAGGAAATTGAAACATGGATTCAAATATTAAGCCATTACACTATCCACTTAACTGTTTTTTACACCAACATTTATATTAAGAATAAAATTAAGAGAGTGAGGATAGAATGGCTGAAAGTCCAACTGATGATTGTGGGATGGAGAGGGCAAGGGATATGGAGCAGGCCAGTGTTTACTGAGCATAGGGAGTATCAGGTCGGTGCAGTTAAAGGAGGTCAGAGAGGCAAGGCGGGGCGAGACTGGAATGAGAAGAGGGAATTCCAGAAATGTAACCAGAACAGAAGAATGAGGTGACTCAGAAAATCAGATCAGGGACTGATCTCAGCATTAAAGCTTGTCTTTTGGATGACTTACCAATATTAGGATGCTTTAAGAGCCTACAGATTCTTGCTTCGCGTTCCAGCTTCTGGTGATCTGTGGATCAGAAAAAAAAATTATTAATGGACTCCAGGTACAATAATAATAATAATCCTTGCATTTGTTATTGTACCAAATCACGTCTTCAAGATATCTCAAAGCGCTTCACAGAATATACTGTAAAGTGAATTGACTGTATATTTTGTGAGAGAAACAATCTCGTAAGGAATGTGGCTTTCTCATTTTTTAATGCAATCCTGAGTTTAAAGTAATATAATGATACCGTTTGGTTTAAGTGCACTTGATAATCCAGATCAGTAGTTCTCTGTAAATGTCGGCAATGAAAGGGATACAGGCAAGGTTTGCAGTAACAAGGCATTGCCACAATCTCAGTTTTACGCAATCAGTGTATCAAAGGTAGGTCATAGGCCAGTCAGTTAAAAATCACCTAGCAATAACTTCTCCACATCTGACATGGGTCACAAATGTGAGGCAACAATACTTATAGAATGAAGCCGTGACATTTGACAAGAATCTTAAAAGGAACAGGGCTGGGAATAAATTGTTGCAAGTCCATGAGGCATTTTAATCACTACTGGTAGTTAAAAGGGATAGAACTTAGAATCAGTGTAATAGTATCTGTGGAAGAATAGAGCTTGAGAGCACTGGGGAATAAACTGAGAAATTAATTTCCTCATGTGCTGTATTTACAGAGAACTCTTTCTTTCATCAATGCAAAAAAATTGAGTTGTATCCAGATACTCTGATTGACTCTCTTTCTGACTTTGGTTAGCAGTATTACTAAAAATGTCTTGTCAGACAAGCTTGATGTCCACTTAAAACAGTCTAGACAATGAAGACCATTAACTTGAACATGGGTCTCAAATGACTCTGTGGTGAATTAGGGACCATTCAAAGTGACACCACTGGGAGGAGGGTGGACAATGACAAAATATTAAAATAATCTGTAGATAGTAATAATACAGTACCAAAATTGCATATCAAGTGGGATTAAATGTTACAATAATTGCTCTCTGAAGTCTCCAAATCAGAATTTTACTTAATGTTTGAATGGTACTCCCCGGAGACAGACCATTTGGTTCGTCGAGTCTGCGCTTGTATTTTTCTCCACAAGAATCAATCTAACCAACAGTCTCCAGCTCGCTCCCAATCCTCAAACATCTTATGTTAAAGGCACCCTGAGCAGTTAAAGCCACAGCATTTTGACTGGTAACATGTGTAGGCAACAATTTATTGATGGTGGATAGCAGGCTGTTTGAAACCACAACTGATAAATGAATTGAAGAGCACAGGTATCGATGGTGTTTAATTTGGATGTGGCCTTGGCAATTGTGTTCCTGTGTTTTCATGCTAATCTAAAAGCCGTTCAGGTTCAATTGTAATCCCTTCATGCCTACTAAGCTCTCTGAATGGTACATATAAACAGAGAATCTTGACAGCAGTGTTTTTCATATAATACTCTCTCAAAGGTCCTCCAAACTATCTGTGGAACTACAGTATACATGATACAGCAGAGGATGTTAATGTTGCCCATTCGGAATGACCCATACCATTTCAGTATCTCTGCTTTGAATCTGTGGTTAATCTCAAACAACTTCATGTTTGGAGAACAAAGTTTTAGAATGTTAAGCGTGAGAAGCAACAGAATTTCCGGGTAGAATTACACAGAATGATACAGTACGGAAACAGGCTATTCAGCTCAACGAGTCCAAGTCAGTGTTTATACTACTGAGGTAAACTCCCAGATACATGGACCTGGGGCAGAAGCTGCAAACCAAGCTGGCACAGTCTGGGCTTTGCTCAAGCTGTATCACATCAGTAAATAGTTAATTACTTTGCTAGGTTTTGTTAATAAAAAGCATGTTTCTCAAAACAATTATGATGAAAGCTAATGCTCTCACACCAGGGAGTTCAATGGACATGTTTGTGTATTAGTCAGATAGGCTAGTTGTTGAGAAATTAAAGCTCCCTTGTGGCATATTCTTCAAAAGCACCTGTTAGTTTTAATACGTATTTCCAAATATAAATTACTTCTGGACTTGAGATACAAGATGAGCTCCAGGCTAAACATATATTACTTTGCAGGGAATGGAATGATTTTATAACAACTAGATATGGTTGTCATGGACATTGTCAGGGGCACTTTTCATTGCTGTTTCACTGAGGAACTGGCACCATTCAGTTTCAGCTTAAATCAGGTAAAACTGTTCAAAAAGGATTCTATATTGTAGAATTGTAGATGATATTGGAATAAGATAACAGGTTCTGGGCTTGACCACCAAGCATTTATTTATCTTTATCAGCAGTGCAGACTAGATAAGTAGTTTTGGCAGCCAGCTCTAGCCAGAAATTACTGATTAAAATATTTTGCTTCTTTTTTAACCCCTTAGACCCAATTTTTTGATGTCTTCATAGTTATTTTTGTTGTAACAATTCTGTTTCTCGTCCTCCATCAACCTTGCTTGAATCTTGGCTGCAAATCTGCTCATTTAAACTTTAATGCCCATCTAGCCTTTCTGGTGCAAACAAAATTGCCCTTTCTAGATGAAAAGAATAGAAGTTCCTGACCCACTCAACTCTGCAGCATTTAATAACCAGCCCTCAGAATCAGAAAAATAGGGTTAGGGTTGGAGCAACCTTCTTTGTAGCAGAATCGGGGAAAAATTCCCTCACTGCCTGTGCACTTCATAGAATCATAGAATAATACAGCACAGAAAGAGGCCATTCGGCCCATCGTGTCTGTGCCGGCTCTTTATAAAGAGCTATCCAAATCAATCCCACTCCCCCGCTTTCTCCCCATAGTCCTGCAAACTTGTCCTCCCCAAATAATTATCTACTTCTCTTTTAAAAGTTGTTACCAAAAGGCTTCCACCACCCTTTCAGGCAATGCATTCCAGCTCCGAACAACTCGCTGTGTGAAAAAATTTCTCCTCCCCTCTGTTTCTTTTAACAACTATTTTAAATCAATGTCCTCGGGTTACTGACGCATCCGCCAGTGGAAACAGTTTCTCCTTGTTCACCCTGTCAAATCCCCTCATAATTTTGAAAACTTCTGTGAAGGCTCCTCTTAACTTTCTCTGCTCAAGGAGAATAATTCTACCTTCTCTAATGTTTCCTCATAACTGAAGTCCCTCATTCCTGGTACCGTCATGGTAAATCTCCTTTGCATCCTCTACAATGGCTTGACATCCTTCCTAAAGCATGGTTCCCAGAACTGAACACAGTACTCTAGCTGAGGCCTAACCAGTGTTTTATAAAGGTTCATCATAACTTTCATAACTTCCTTTCTATTCTATGCCCTTATTTATAAAGCAAACAATTCATTTTCCTCAGGCCAGCTCAATATGCCGTTAACATACATCTTCCAGCAGATGGCCTCTGCAAGCAGTTATGCAGCTTTACCTTTTGCTGGCGTGCATACCAGCAAAAAGCTTGAAAAGATTAATGCACAGCAGTTGCATTGTAGATCAAAAACATAACCTGTACCTAACACACAAAATCCTCCTCAAAGAGATTCAGAAACGTTCAGTATTTCCGAATCTCTTAGCCACGAGTATTTCTTTGAAATTCGGGAAACAATGGAAGGTGCAGCATTTCAGAGTATAAATTAGGAACATCTGGTATCTCGCCTCTGCTTAACAATTTCCCAGGGGTCTTATTCATGAACTTGCAACACAGTATATTAATCAAGCCAAATTTAAATGTAAAGTTGATCTTCAAGATTTCCACCCTCTCCCCCTTTCTTTCCATCATCTGTTCTGAAGGTTTGCTCACAATGTGAATACCATGATTCTGATCCTGGCTATTGCCACGTGACATTTTTTCAATAACAAACATTCTAGACCATATATGGGGAAAAAAACTTGTAACACTAATGGGAATACTCAGCCATCCAGAATCTGCAGCGTTACTATTGTATCACGTCAGAACTATGGTAAGATGAAGTTCTCAGTTTATTTAGATAATACATACCAGAATGAATTATTCAGCGTTAAGTACTCCATGGGTTTTATTTCAGTGAAAATATCATCAGATCACTTGGGAAGAAATAGCAATGTTGTGATTAGATCTTACAGCATTGTACCACCCCACGCCCACCCCCAATCCAGTATATATACTGAGATCAGTTATGTTTGATTCAAGTTCCATTTGTTTCATCTTTTCTTGTTGTTGTATATCCACTTTTGATTCTTTTTTAACATTCTGCACATACAATGCTAATTAATATATTCTCACACATCATAAGACTAACTTGTGACTTGATGAAAATAATGATCTCTGAGGCATGTGTATATTGGGGATATTACCATGGTAGCCATTATTTTAACACTTGATGTGGGCTAAGATAATCACTGGTGTGATAACACACCTGGTCCACACTTGCCTTGCAGTTCAGTATGATTTTGCAGTATTATATGATTTTGTGGAGTAAGAATAAAGCTGTTCTGTCGTGTTCATAAATTATACATTTGATTTATAATATAAACAAAGGGCTATTTTATTACACTATACACTGTATGACATGATGTGCTTTTAACACTGTTAATAACGGAAATGAATGATTCTACATGGCAGAAATTTGGGCAAGTGGTGAGATCAATATGAGAGAAATGTCATTCTCCCTCCTTACTTCATTAATCTCTGGGTTACTTTGTGACAGCCATAGCAGGCTGAAATGGAAGAGCAGAGCAACTGTGAATAGCTGAGTACGAGGGAAGGCATTAGCTCAGCAGCAAAGAGGGAATAATATGACATCAGCAACTTGTAACACACAGACCTTACTGATGAGTAACATGGTGTCGGAACAACTGGCTGAAAGTTAAGAACTAAAGCAAGATTCCTCACTGACTAAGGCTTTGGTCCACATGTACTGTATACCCATTGTGACTCATCATCACTGGTTACATGCTGGTTATTCTATTCGGGGTTGCTTATGTCAAATCTTGATGCTGTAAAAGTCTTAATCAAGTATTTTTCCAAATACTAGTGGAGTCCAGAGATGAAAGCCAGTCGGAGCTGAAACAATGCTGTTTCTT